GAGGGTCAATTAATTACTTAAATTTGTTAGGAACTTATTAAGTGAAAGTAAAAAAATGAGACTCTGCATTCATTCATGCATTCAACACAATGTCAAGATAGTCCTGCATCGCATGGGACTGTATAGACATGATCCGAAGCTTACATACATCAGTAATCATCATATGTCAGGTGATGATGTCATCATGGTGCCATTATGAAATTAGCATATGATGTCATATAGTGCAGCCGTGCATTGACTTTTGCAGCCAATAAGATTAAAGACATATGCATTCCATCACTTATCACATCCTCTATCACTGTAAAATGGCTACAGGAGGCTAATGGATCATTGGTAACCAGTTGAGGCTTTTAACATTTTAAATTTCAGAAGGAATCTGACAAGTAAATGCATGAACAAGTGAAATGTCTCCACATCCTGCCACTGACTATAGACAGCCCAGGTAGTATGTTTATTCTTTGGTCAGCTTTCTTGTTAGCAAAGACAAAAGCATTGTTTTGTCTACCTGAACTTGAGCCTCGGATATTTACGTTATTTAAAGCTACAAGAATGGACCATTTATACAAGAAGCGTTTGTGTAATTTGTGATATTCTTCGATGTCACGCTCAAGATCAGAATCCTCCACCACGTCAATGAAAAAACGTGTTGTAATAGTTGGAATTACCACAATATCAAACAAGGAATTTCATTAATGTCGAACTTGTGCCACCAAGTAAATTGTTGGCAGATGACAGAATTTAAAAAAGTACTTCTTTTAAGGTCATAGGATTTCAATCAGTCGACCCAATGAGAGCAATGCAGTCATGTTTGCCTCAGGTGATAGATGAGCAATGAGTTTTCCAGAGTGACAATTCATTTCCCCAAATCCAAACCTCTGTTAACGTGTCATCATAAATTCAACATTCATACACGTTGAAAAAGAAATACACACCCATGCGTCATTGACACTCAGCAGCCGAAGAAGTAGATGGCGTTTCCTTCTAAGGAGCTTTTGGCTGTGTGCTGTCTGCAGGTCGTGTGCCGTCTGAAGCAGCCACATCCATCACTTTGAGGCAAAGGCAGGGTGGGGAACAGAGGACTTGTAGTTGGGGCCCACTCCTATAAACTGTGCTGCCCAGCGGGATGTGGTTACTTCCAAAGCGTTGCATACTCAAGCGTTTCCACAATTGCCATCTTTACATCACACACTCTTCAGGGCTACTGTTTACAGAAAACTGTTGTTTGAAAATGCAAATCTTTCTTTGGAAAAATCCTCACTTGAAGCCAGTTTCAGACATGAACTGCGGAAAATTGAGAATTGGGAATGTGCATGACATTCAGTGGGGGGGGGGGGGTTCTGTTGTGGAGCATGAGGCAGGACACGAAAAATAAATTCTTCAGCTAAAATCATGTTTTTCAATACAGCACATCGACACCGGCATTGGTTCTAATCACCAAAGGTTGAATCTCGTCTTTCCAAGTTGACATCTTCGTCAGCATCCTCTAAGTGCAAGGCTCCTCTCTTTTATATTTGTATTCTTTTTGTTTTGTTCAGTTTTGCATCTCACGCAAACTTGAATCGCCCACTCACTCACTCACTGTGATTTCCCCACTGTATTCCCACACGGACCTCCCTCTGACATCTTCCTGATATTTAACTTGGGGGCTGGAATGAATAGTTCACACATTTAGCTCCTCTACGTAATTTCAGGAGAACGTCCAGACAGCAGCACTATAGGTTAGACTGGTGAGTGTGGTAACAACGAAGGGAAGCTGTTGGAACGCTGGTGTGATGAATGGCTCCACTTGTGCTTGAGGAAACATGTCCCACGGTAGTGTAATGAGGACACACCCTGCACTGACCTGCAGCTGCAAACACACATGCAGACACACCTGCCAAGTATGAGTCATGCAAGGTGGGCAGGGGCCGGGCCTTAAGAGAGCATGAGCTCATCCCGTTGGTTCCCGCACCTTCCCACATCTCACCTCAACCTCAGCCTTTGTCTCCCCACCCCTCTTACGTGACTCTCCCTGTTTTTCCTCTCCTCACATCTTATTTGTCCCATACCTTTGTTTTGGTCCCTTCTCTGTCATCGGCTGTGTGTGTGTGTGTGTGTGGTGGGTTTTTGTTCACCTGGTGGCCAGTAAAGAGGCGGAGTTCTGTTTGTGTGTGTGATTACAGTTGAAGCAGCCAGCTAGTGTGAGAAACAGGAGATGCACAAGGAGCGTGAGAACACTACCTGGAAAACAGCTGGGAATGTCGTTTTAATAGACTGACCAGACACACATGCATATACATACACACTCATGCACGCAAGTGAGCCCCCCGCCCACTTCTTCTCCAACTCAAACCTCCGCCTGAACCAAACATTAAAACACGTCTGCCCCTTTAAATGTCATGATTAACATCACAGGGACTTTTTGTCCCCACACGGAAGACAAGTCCTCATGATACGAGTGTGTTGATAGTTGAAGGTCCCCACAACATGAGTAACACCTGGAGCACACACACATTCCTGTGAAATACATGTTGGGTCAGATCCAACTAGGGCGACAATACTGACTCATTTCTTAAGAAGCATAGTTTCACTGGTTTGCGAGGAAAGAGTTTTCCGAACTGGAAAACCTGCACTTTAACTTCAAACTCCCTTCTGGATAAGACTTTGCACAACGCCCTGATTCCTCCCAGCATTTCCCCATCCTTCTACTTTCACTCTCTACATAAAGAGATATATATATTCCTTCTGGTTAGCTTGTTTGAATGCAGCCCGACTCTGCTCACATTTGTATTTTCTTTTTTTTATAGCTGCTGACAGAGGTTCACGCAGTGTTTTTGTTTGTGTGATTATGCGTGCATGTGTGTGCTTGCATGTAAAAGTGGATGGGAAGAGACAGTTTCTGCCTTCTCACATTTCACTGGAAAGAGGAAGTTAACCCTTGTTTACTACAGTTCAGCAGGCAGATTATGCAACACTAACCAGAGTGTTTTTACCTCATGACACTCACCTGTTCTGTATGTGTGTGATGGAGAGAGAGAGAGAGAGATAAGGTGTTGATAGTCACTGTTCATGGGGGAAGCTTATACTACAGGAAGTGCTATTTCAATAGGTGGCCACTGCTCAGTTACACACACACGCACACGTTCCCTCCCTTGCAGAACATAGTACATATATATACACATATGGTGAAAACATGCCTGCATGCTGATGTGTTTGCATTCCTGCTCACTGGATCTGTGGGAAATATCTGGGAAGCTCAATATAGATGCAGCAGAACTAACTCTGCAGACAGACCTCACTGAAACAGTTTGTCTGTGATCACAGGGGGATAAACATGGTTCATTCTGAACATAAGAGAATAGTTGGGCCTTCCCATACATGCTGACAATTGAATAAGGATAAATGTGATAAAATCTCTGGACTTGTCAACCAATCGTTGATTAAAATGTCCCTATATTTTTCATTTATTTCAGATCGGATAAGATGTACATCTTTAACTAAACTCCATTAATAAAATGTTTTTTGATCTGCTGTGTATCCAAATCCATCCATTCATGCTTGTTTTTTAAAGCAGTGTCCAAGACAGCTTTTCTGGAATTTCCTGCAGGTCTCCGTCCATAAGGCTGATGACTCCTCAGGGCAATTGGTTATTTTAAGTTGCTCTTATGGTCTCATCCACTGTTGTACAACCAAGCCCCACCAACACAAAAAACTAACTCCCACCCACACATACATGAAATCACTCACAAGCTAACTGGCTTGTTTTCCATTAGGTTACTGTAAGAGTGATTTGCATGGGTTTATCTTGAATATTTCAGTATCAGTTTGGCCCCGTTCAGACCTGGTATCAACATTTGTCCAGAGAGAGGCACAGGTCTGAACACACCCAAATTTGTCCACAATGCGTCCTGAGATCTGACCACTCATGGGTGCATTCAGAAATGCGCTGACCGCTCAGAATGGATGTTGATTCCAGGTCTGAACGGAGTCTTTGTGCGGTTGTGTGCTCAGGTTTCTGTGTTTTGACAGTTTAGCATCTCAGTTTTCCTCTTGACTACAGAGAACGTTATATAATATATAATATCAGACAAATAGAGACTCAGTGTTCTGCAGCTGACACTCTGTCCCCTCTCTGAGTCTCGTCTTTAATTAAACTTTAGGAGCGAGTTGTGTCAGAGGCGGAACAGGAGCGGTGAGCAGAGCCGTGATGGATGAGATTTGGTTTGCAAACACTGTCACACTTTGCTCTCTCATTAGCCTCCTAGCTCCTACATATGCTGCAGGGACAATGTGCCTAATGGAAGAGCTCTGCCTCCAGGCTATCCCCCTGCCCTTCCTCCATCAGTCTAACCTGTACATTTCTCTGCAGCCCGCCCCTTCTTCTTTTCCAGCTGTTCTCCACCACTTTACCGCTCACATGCCGCACTTAAGATTTAAGTACAAGAATGTCGTGTCCCTCGTCCAGCACATGCACACACACACGACCCCTCCTCCCATCCCAAACACACACCACCATCCATAGAAGGACAATTAGACCTATGTCTCAGCATTAATTACCATTTTAATTAGCAGGGCTGTGAGAACGAATAATCTGACAGCATATGGCTAAGGGTGCAAAAATCATAATCCTATCAGTATTATTTATTCCCTCCCAGTTCCACGGGCTGTTTCAACACGCTGGTCTAATTACTATTGGCTGGGGGTGGGGACTGGGAGGCAGGCAGCGAAAACAATAACAATGTTAATGCTGGAGGCAATGCTAGGTTAGGCCTACACCCAATTCTTCATGTGTGTCTTCTCAATGGGGAGCAGGGCTTAACAAACAATCAAATAAATGGAAGAATCAAGATATGTCTTCTCCTTTCTTCTCTCCTTCCTAATTGGAGTTTACTAAATGAAAGGTAGGAATCTGAACCAGAGCAGCTGCTCCAGCGTGCATCCATTGAAATGACAGATTAAAAGCTCCTGCTTGTGATGTGATGGCGAGGAGGAGGAAAGAAAACAGAGGTGAATGGCTCTCTTAAATAACATCATTATTTATTGCATGTGTCTATAAAGAATCAATACAATCTAAAGCAATGAACTATGTTTAAATTATCATCTCTTAGTAGCGTCACAATATGCAAGATATGAAATATTTACAATGAAAGACACAGCAAGATAAGCCGGGGCCCATATCGTAACCTTTAGATGCTGAATAAAAACTTGAAACATTATCCAAATGCAAAAACACTGCTCAAAAAACAACCAGAAAAAAGTTTCCATTTCAAATTTGAAGAAAAAAAATGTACAAACAGCAAAAGTCTGATTTAAGGTATGAACAAACATTATTAACAGTATTTATACATTTGGTACATCTTTGTAAACTAATTCTTAAAAGTGTAAATATTGCATATATGCCATTTGTGTTGTACCGTAGTAACAAGAATTTATTTTGAATATGTCAAGTATTAATGATTTCTCTTAAAATCTTTTTTTTTTTCAGAATTACAGCATTAGAAAATGTCCTCATAGTGGCATCCATTTCACAAGACAGTTTAAAAAAAGAGAAAATCAAAGCCAAACCATACAATTTAGCATATAACTTAATTAGTGCTTTTGTTATATCAGAAATTTCACTCGAACACATACTATGTACAGTACAAACAACATAAGTTATTTAACTTAACAGCGGTTGCTTGGATGTAATTCTCTGTAACATCGCGTTATTTACAGCATAGAAGCAAAGGTTAGGTACCAGTGAATTCAGATAAATAATAAGATACTTCCCCTGGTTGTCTCTTTTCATTCGGCTTGAGTCTGTGGTATGGTCTCCATTTTCTACCTCTGCATGTTTCACTACCGTAGTTGCAGATGTTTTTTGTTTGGGTCGTGTGTTCAGAACACAGCGTTACTAGCGTACTACATTCAACGTGTCTTGTCTTACAATCTAGAAAGTTTGTAAGTGCAAGACCGTGCAGTGGAGGCTGTGAATTCAAGCTATGGAGCGGCTCGTTGGACAGACTGCGTCCGGCTTCAGCCACATTGCTCAGTGCTGTCTGGTGTGGTGTGACAAGACGCCCACAGCGAGGCATCAGGTGAGAAAATGTACAATACTGGGCTGTCCAGTTACTCCATACAAATAACTTCAAACATTCATGTGCCCATCCCTTGTCTTGACAGGTCATTATACTTCCTGCAGGATATCACAGGTGAACAGTGAGTTGGTAAAGTCTATAAAGATGCTGAGACTTGGCCCTCGTCTACACAACTGCAGATATTTTTTTGAACAGATATTTTTCCCTCCATTTAAAAAAAATAAAAATATAAAAAAAACTCCATCCACACGACCGTTGTTTTACAAAATATCTCCACACGGACTTGAATGCGAAACACTCAAATGCTCACAAACACTCAAACAAGCATGCCAGGTCAGTAGGTGGCGATAAAGTCTACATCCATGATCCTTCTCGTAAGAGAGAACCCTGTGAATGCCGGTGCAGTGATGCTAAATATAGCTGCAAACTTTTAATTACATTCAGCAGTACTAACCAACAGTAGATGAAACTGGTATATAGCCACCATTGATGTTTCTGGTGCATGCTCATTATACAAAACAAAATTGGTGTGCGCCAAGTAAGCTGTGTTGTCATCAAACGTTTCACATGCACACACCGATACACATGAACATGCACTTTGGAAGACGTTTGTAAAAATGTTTTTTATTGACTTGAAACGTCATTTGATTGTGGACGAGTTGCTTGAACATAGAGGGAAAAGTTCATTTAGCAAAATATCCGTATTAGTGTGGACAGGGCGTTGGGCTCAGACAGGCCACAGATCAGGTGCTCAGGTCCAGGCAGACCTGGTTCGTGCTGCATTGTTCAGACACTTGCATGTAATGCAATGCAGTGTCAAGAGTTCCACTGTAAGAATTCTTTTAGTGTGTTAAATTCCTCCATCTCAGGCATATTGATAAATATATTACTATGGATTTTTAATACATTATATTGTCATAAATGTGTGGGGAGAGAAGGAGCTTAATCTCGGAGAGGCCATCTCTCTCTCACTCTGCTCTGATGCACATTCAGTCTTGTAAGATGATCAAGTAAATCTTTGATATACTGCGTGTTTATAGGTCCAAACTAAAAAAAAGGTCCATCAGACAAGGGCTGATGGTTAGAGTAAGGCTTTGGATTGGTGATTCTTAAAAAACATTCACCTCCGAAAATAAATATTTTATATATATTTCTACTGTGTGAATTGGTACCAACCTGGTTTTTGCTGAGGTAGGGTTTTCTTATTTTGTTTAAGCAAATGTTAACTCTGATTTTAAATATGTTCATAAATGCCACCTCTTTTGCAGTACAATCTGTATAAAAATTGACACACACATTTCATTTACAGCATACAGACATGATAGATAAATAAATAAATACATGTGATCTGTATGCATGTAAGGTTCTTTGTGTGTGTGCGTGTGCGCACGTGCTCTCCAGGTTTGGTTCACAGGTTTTCAGGTGAGATTTTCTGGCGATAATTGGCCGAAGCCAAAAGGAAGCCAGTTGAAAGTGTGAGAATGGTAATAACAATAGTTAACATAAACAATATACTGCAGAATAATTTTGCAGGCCTACGTACAGAGATAAATAGATAAATAGTTACCTATCTATGGTTAGAGTTAGTAGTCCATTTAAGTTCTTGTTATTTTCTCTTCAAAAGTAATCTAGTACTACAGCAGCGATGGCGCCTGAATCTGTTGTCGCCAAGAGAAGCGGAGGGAAGATTTGGGGCAAGGGTCAAGTGTCCATGTTTCCATGGTGATGGCAGTCCCTGTGAACCTTGAAGGCAGCGAAGAGGTCAAAGGACATCAGCTGCAGCGCATGGTCCAACTGTCGTTGTGGCGACCTTGTCACTTGGCTGCAGCCAAATCCGACATTCACAGGACAGGGAGGGAGACGGGGGAGGGGGATCCATCAACCTTCATTCTGAAAGAAGAATGAAAAAAACATGAGTGAGTTTCTTGTCATGTGATTACAGAAACAAACCTGCATGTATCGTAAATAGACTTCCCCAATCAATACTCCCATCAGAAACTGAATATAAGTGTGTATATAGGATAGTATATATAGTATATATGTGATTCTTCATATGGGCAAAAGCATTACAAAGGAGGAAGAGGTCAAACATATACCCCCACTCTGTTACCAACTAAGGAAGCAGTGCTCCAGGGGCCTGCCTTTGTGTGTGTGTGTGTGTGTGTGTGTGTGAGTGTGTGAGAGTGTGTGTGTGTGTGTGTGTCTCAGCTGGTAGACACTGAAGTGGCAGGTGCTTTCAAGACAGCGGAAAAACAGAGTGGCATTTAGCAGTGTGCAGCTGACACAGGGCAGCCACTAAGAGCAGCAGAAGAGACAGTAACAACACTCCCACACACCAACACACATACACACTAGTATCCTGATTGCATATCCACTGGAGCCAAATAAACAAAGATTTACTCCCACACACCAAAGAGTTGTATTTTCACATACTATAAACTCAAGAGTGTTGCTTTCTCTAAGCGGAAAACTGCTCTGAGCCTTCCCCCTGTGTACTTGTTTGTGAGGTTTCATCTGCATGCAGAGCTATCGAATGGGAGCGGAAGTCTTGGCTGACACACACACACGCAGCCCTTCTCCACGGCTGCATTTCTTCCCTCGTTCGCTGTCTCCTCTCCCTCTTCCCCGGCCGTGAACAAGAGCCGTTTTCACAAAGCTGGATGTGATCGTTATTCTCTAAAACAAACCTTTCTTTCACAGTCCTCAGCTACTCCCACCGTAAACACACACGCACGTCTGTTCTCTCTCTCTCTCTCTCTCTCTGCCCTATACATTCTCACTATAAATGAAAATCAGATGTTAAAGTTCAATCTTAATGCTTTATCTACGCCGGCCTTATCGATGACAATATCAGAGAGGGGAGAAAAAACACATTGCAGAGGTTGAGACATTTTTACACATGCTCAGGAATGCAAAAATACAGACCTAGTGACCTAATGAGAGTTCATTTGAAAAATTTAACTAGAATAGCATTCAGTAGAATGCAAGGCCCGACAGTCCCCTTAAAGGAGCGGCACTACATTTCACGAGCGTATCGTTCCAAGTTTCATGCAAACATTTTCAAACTCACAAACAGACAGGGGTGAAAACATAACCTCCTTGGCAGAGGAAATAATTGATTTCACTGCTGTGGACACATGGGATTGGTGGGCTCTGTCCCCTCACAGTCATATGTGTCAGCAACAGAGGAAAAATAGAAACACTGCGGTGGGAAGTGGTGGAAAAACCACAGTAACAGAATCAACCTGACAGAGAAGAACGGGAATGCGGTGAGGTCATGGGACCGACGGTCTGCAACAATCTGAATGTGTGTGCATGTGTGGGTTTGTTTCTGGATGAGTCTGCCGACACTCGGGTGGGAATGACTGAGATCTACCAGGAAGGAACGCTGAATCACGAAGAGCTCAGATTAGCAACCAGGTGGAGACGCGAACATAAACACTGTGAAACATTATGATTGGCTTATGAACAATGGTGCATGTGGGTAATGTGACATGCAGGGACTCGCCACACACACACACACACACGCTGCTGGTGAAACACATGGTGATCGGAGAAAAGTGTGGGTGGGCGGGGAGTTTGGGAGGGTGGAGTGGGGGGTCCTACTGAGAGACAGAGGTCTGCTGGGTGGAATAAACCCAATGGCTCCTGTCCCTCCTCTTTTTGGAGCACATATGCATGTCCCTCCACCCCTCCCAAGCCATGTCTGTGCCCCCCTGTCACCACACACACACACACACACACACACACACACACACACACACACACACACACACACACANACACACACACACACACACACACACACACACACACACACACACACACACACACACACACCAAGGCTCTGTTCATTATTTATTTAGTTCTCAGAGGCTAAATTTAACCGTGCTCCATTCAGGGCTAGGCCACACACACATGCATTAGCAGCCTCCTCTCTGGTGCTTTGAAATCAGTGTAAACAAGTGCTCGTGTCTGTTGATGCATCGTCTGCTTGAGTAGTTTCAAGCTGTGGCAGAGCTAAGTTAATGGGTTGTAGGTGAACTTGTCCAACTGTATTTATAACCAGCAACAACACAAAAGGAAGTAGGGGGATCGCCAACTTCTTTTTTTTCATCATACGGACACTGCAAATGGAGCTTCTGCAAAACAACAAATCTGATGTTGAGAGCTGGTTTTCCTACGACAGGCTCAGATATGCTGTTTACATTCCTGCCCTGCTGGCTCCTCCCTGATCTACAGCAGCGCTCTACCAAACAAACACTGACTGACTCCTCACCTCTGACCTCCAACACCTCTGCCTGGAAAACAAAACAACAACCACCACCAGTAACCCTGTTATCCTGCTGACTCATTGTTACACACTGATACACACATATTCTGCAAAGTGTTTTTAAATCAAGTCTTGTTTCAACAATCACAAGTCAAGTCAGTAAAAATAACTGAGAAGGCATTTTACATTCATTTTTATTATTCATGAATCTTACAATTATATTCAGGTGGAATTAGTTGTTTCCCAGAGTCCAAGTTGACATATGTATATATATATATATATATATATATATATATATATACTGTTATTCTATCCAAAATGCAAATACATTCAGCTTACTGTTATAATAATCATAATGTTTTACTTAAGTACCCCACCCAGAGACTTCAGGAGAGTTTACGATGAGCTGCTCCATTTATGAATGAATGTGCCTGTCAACATTACATTAGGCAGAACTCACTCTGAGTGTGTGTGTTTGTGTGAGTACTGTATGACATGCACACTTATGTCACACACAAAGACGCTCTATCTCTTCCTCTACCTCTGGAAAAACAAGCTACTCAACAATGTCTAATCCTGAAGTGAATGTAATCCTTCTTACCTCCAAGCTAAATTGAGGATACGCTAGGTTAACTTTGTTTTTATGTGGCGCTGGAACATCCTGTCCTACTTTGCTCAAAGAGTTATGAATCAAGCGGCCTGTGTATGCACGTCTGTAACAGAGGCATGTACGGGACGGGTGAGGACAGGGACTAAAGGTTCTAACACAGTACGTTATTCAAAAAGCCATGTGGTGCGATTGTTTGTGGAGTTTAATCTTCCTGAAACTGGTTCTTTCAGTATTGTAATGACTATGCTGCAGTTTCTACATTGTACAATCTCACTATGAGCAAGTATAAGAAAAATGTAAATACACGATTATAGTTAAGCAGATGACTACTGATTTTGAAATGTCAGACTTTCCCACTAGCTCATGAACTCAGTAGCTCTGATCAGATATGATTAGCTAATTGTTTAATGCACTGTTAGACAATCCTCTATGGCCTCTGGTGTGAAAAGCCAATCAGAACGGGTCCACTGAGGTCAGATAATAACAAAAACACACTGCTCCAATGCGCCCCTGTGTTTGTGTGTGTGTAGAGGGGGGTGTGTGTTTATTGGGAGATGGGGGCTGAATCACATGACTTCTGAAAAAAAGAAACCAGTGCCTGGAGAGAGGAGGAGAAACTGAGGAGGAGGAGCAAAGGCGGAAAAAAAAGGGGGGGGGGGGTATGTTTGGTGCATGGCTCCTTGAAACTGCTTTGCCACACCCCCACCTTCTCCCGGTTGTTGTTGTGGCAGATGGTGGCCAGTCATTAGCGTATTGTCACTCTCCTCTGTAGGGCCAGTGAGCACTGCTTGGCAGGGCAGGTGCAAAACCCCTGACCCTACTACCCCTCCACCATCTGCTGATGGCTGTGTATGTGTACGCACACAGGAGAAGACGAGACAGTAGACGAGGACTCACAGACTAAGTGGAAATAATGTGTGTATCAGTGTTAGTGTGTGTGTATGTGTGTGTGTCTGTGTCTGTGTGTGGTGGTTGGGGGGGTGTCTGGACCCAAAAATGGAGAGTATGAGTCAATTTTCCCTTACTTGCCCCTTCCCCACCCATGCAGGATTGTTTTTAGACAGAGACACACATATGAGATAAGTGAGGACAGAAGTGGAAAAAGAAGATGAGATGATGATGATAAAGAAGCTTTTGTAGACGAAGGAAAGAAGCGGCAACACATACGAACTCTAACAGGAGAGGTAAGATTAGAACAGCTTAAAACACAAGGGTGTAAAAAGTTGTAAAAATAGCACACACACACACTCGCCTCCCTTTCTCTTTACCAAAACAGAGTCGGTATGTGGGGATTTCTGGAAATGCCCTGATGGCGATGTCTCTCTCTCTTAAAGCCTCTCAAACACACAGTGCGGGTTCAGAGGTCAAGAAACTGACATTGGCGGCAGGGCCAGAAAGGCTGCACTGAAAGCTAAACAACCCCCAACTCCTCTGGTCCCGCCACCTCCCCTCGCCCCTGCCCCTCGTAATGTCAGGGCCAAAACCCAAACAACAGCAGCAGTGTGACCTACCAACTAAAAGACTTTAACATTCCTCACTGTGACAAAAACCTCTGTAAACAGGCAGGTAGGACTTGCTTACATATTTGCATGTTTATCGAGTTGTGAAGCAGCAGCACCCCCCTCCCTCCCTCTCCCTCTCTCCCTCACACTGCAGCGCCAAATGAGGACAAGTGATTTGTTTTCCTAATCTACCAGTTTCAGAATGATAAAGTGTGGAGGATATGAACTATGGCTCCCTCAGCGATAACAAGAGAATGCGGCAAAGCCTGTCATCTTGTAGTAAACAGGTGTGCCCTCTCTTTCTCTCTCTCTCACACACACACAAGAAACACATGTGTTTTGTATTTTGATGTTAGTATCAATGACTTGCTGCACTGGACACATCCAATCAGAACAGAGTGGTTCACTACTATATATAAAGACATTTGTTTGGAAGAGGTTGTATAACCAATACACAGCAGCAAAGATCAAACCTTTATCAGAACAACACTGATCTCTATCTCTTTGTCTTTTCTTTCTTACTCCTTCATTCCTCCCCCTCACTCTCTCCCTCCCTTCAGCCAAAAGCCCAATTGTCTATTTTGTTGGACATGGAAAACAAAACAAGTCATTCCATCCCTCCATCCATCACCATTGTTCTTTCAGATCCCTCTTTGCTCCTCCTCTGCTTTCACAGCCTCGGACCAATGTCTCCACGGAGGGTCAAAATTCAATATCTGGTGTCCAGAAAAGAACCAGGATGAAATAAACTGATGACTTCCCAATAAATGAGAGGCTCTAAGCAGATGTGAGGCTTCACATGTATGTGTGTGTGTGCCTAGTTTAGAATGTGCAATAAGTAACTTCAGTCCCTAGGGGTCTCTCGATCAAAACAATAACAAAAGACATATTTTATAATGTCCTGAAACCATGAGATTATGGGAGATGCTGCTGACGGCCCAGATCACTGTTCACGGATGAAAATAGTGGAAGGTAAAAACAACTGGCTAACTAGCTAGTTGTGTTTTTTCATGCCTCGTTTGTCCTGGATGTTATACCAGAGTCGTGCAAAGCTACGGATAAAGGCACTATGATGCTATGAGGATTTCTCTGGGTTTGAACATTGTTGGAAACATTTTGTATATGTAAGTTCACAAGTCAATCAATATATAAAACAGGTCTGGTGGTTTTGAGACATTTAAAAGAAGAATTGTGACATATCTTAAAATCTGATGCTGTGTAAAACTGTTTCATTTGCATGTTTATGAAGTTTCTCAAAGTGGAAAAAAAAGAGAATCCCCCCATCCCCCCCCCCCCCCCCTGAGTCCATCCCACCAGGTTAGAAAAACAAGTGAGCATTCACCTCTCCCAGCAACCTTTGCACACTGCCCACATTCCAGTCCTGAAACCCAGTACCTGACAACTGATAAACAACTGACTCACTTGTTTTTCTGGGGAACCTGATGACTTCCACCAAGCCCCACACTGGCTGCGCTCACAGCATGAGAGCCAACAGAGACTGAGACAAAGCGAGACAACTTGGTTGTGAAACCACAAACAGCAATTAAACTCTTGTATTTCACCATCAGGAACACGGACTCCCGACTCATGATTATCCTGACACAGTGTGTTTTCTTTTTAAACAACAGCAACTTCTGACATGCCCTGGTCAGGTCATCTATCTCGGTAAATAATCCCTGCCTCTTTGAGGTGCATGAAAAGCCACTGATGCTACAGAAAATAAATGAGGTGAAATGTAATATTTTGAAGGCAACTATTCTTTCCCACAAAGACAGCCAGTCATAAGGAGCTCACAGTTTATCCCCACACACCACACGTAGCACTGAGTCACTCAGATTAGATGTTTTTTGAAATATTGATGTGGCATTTTTGAAGGCCCTCCTCGAGACAGAGGGACCATTCACACAGAGATAACAGCAACACCAAGCCAGACAGAATAAAATATGAGGTCACAGCCATAGTTTTTAAAATAAAACTATTTCAAAATAGGATAGTTGGAAGAGAACTAATTTCAATGGGTGTTTTCTGCGACTTTATCTAAATTCAATTTTAAACTTTTTTTTTACTTTCTCATTCTATTTATTTAGAGGGACCATTTTCCGGGGCTGCCTCCCTTACATCTCTGTGCAGATCCAAACAGATCAAGGACCAAGCATAAAGTCCTCAGCACTGCACAGCATCAATATTTGTCCATGTGTCATGGGTGTGACGAGTAAATGACTAATGCTATCTAAACATCACAGCCTCCACCCAACAGCAATGTGCAGAGCAACTTCCCTCCCCACACTCCTGTAGCCTGTGTTTACAGACTGAAAACAGCTATCCTTACACACATCATTTATCAGCATGTAATCACAAAAATAAAAACGGACAGCAACTGATACATACAACTTTAGGTTGTTATTTGTCAGTGGTGTTTTAGCTACTTTTAAAACCAGAGACAATAAACAGTGTGACAGCAGTCAGTGGATTAAATCCAGTCGGTTTTAAACATGCAGACACATAAATTGAAGCTGTTTGTTTTTAGCATATTTGCTAATAGATATATTCTTAACTTTGGAAAGAAAAGCCTCCAAAAGCCTATCACTGAAGAGTAAACTGTGCCCCTGAAGTGGATCTCTTGTGTACTCAAGCTCTGACACCACTCCCTTCATGAATGAAAACACACTGAGTGAATGGGTGAGTGTGACATGTTTGAAAGACGCTCACCTTTCACAGCAGCAGCAGTCTCCTTGAATCCCATGCTTGCGTAGGGGCTGGTGTTGAAACAAGTCATGCCTCCCTTGCAGCCACAGGCCGTCTTGAAGCTCAGGAGTCCATCACAACCCCCTAACCTGCATCCTCCAAAGCTTCCCTCCATCAAGTTTAAGGCAATGTAGTTAAGTCCATTTTGATAACCAGCTGACATCTCTCTGCACATGGGGCTGTTGTTGCCACAGTCCTCATCAGGTGCCTCAGAGCTGTTAACAGTCCGAGATACATTCTCCACGGAGGCAGAGCTGTGCCGTTTGGTGTCGTGCGCAAACGATGGACACACAGGTGTGACAGTGGTGGTGGAGGAAAAGGTCTCCGAACTGTGCCGCCGGCGACCCTGAGGGTCAGCCCTGATCACTTTGGCCCCCCTGTGTGGATCCACAAGAGTGACAGACAATGAAGGACCTCCTATGAGAAATGAGTCCTCTGGGACATGGGGCACCCCGTCCACAATGCTGTTCCCAAGGTTAAGTCTCTGGACACAGGAGGTGGGGCTGGTAGGAAGGGAAGCAGCATCAGTGCTGCAAAGAGCAGGGAGAGGGGCAGGAGGACTGAATGTCATCTCAGTGTAGTCATCCTTGACTGGTAGAGGCTGACACAACAGACTCACCTGCTGTTGGAGAGGATATTCCTCTACCATCCCCCTCTCCTCTGCCTGTCCCCCTATGCCTTTTTCCTTTTCTTCCGCCTCACCTCCCTGCATGCCCTGCTGTGTGTTCACCAGAGGACAAGTCAAGGCTTCAGGCATGTGGTTTAGGCACCCTGGCGGGGAGGAACCCTTAGCTTTGTGTGAACCAAGTTGACCTGGGGAGGTGATCTCAACATTGGTATAGTCTGATAGTAGAAGGGATTCCCCCTTTCCACACTTTAAACTCACAGAGGATTCAGAGCTCTCTGACACAGTGGATGCCTGAGGGTTATGGGTTGCACTATTAAAGTCTATGTTGATGTATTCTCCAGGGCTGCGAGGCTCTGAGGGAAGAGGGTGTTCACTCATACATGGCAATGTTCTGAGGGATTCCAGAGCAAGACGGGTGGGTCGACACAACCTACTCCGGTGTAGCATGCCTCCATCTACCCGAGCCAGTCTGAGAGGAGAGACAGCAGAGGACAGTGTCCCTGGACAGCTGTTGGCCACAGAGTCTCCTGGTGAGATAGGACAATAGTTGGACTCCTCTTCTATCCGCTGTCTCTGTAAACTCATCATCACATACTGGTCTGTGTCCGTGGACCCATTGCGCTGCAACAGGCCTTTGAGTGAGCGTGGTAGAGAGCTGTAAAAATAAGGCTGTCTGTGAAGTTGGGGGTTGGGATCTCCTCCTGAGGGACTAAGGATATAGTCTGGGGGTGTAAGAGACACAAGAGGATCAACAGGAGACATATTCAAGTACTCTCCATTTGTGAGCTTTCCATCAGTACTTTCCATTGACATCTTGGTTCCGCACCACATGCGCATATAGCCACTGTCCTCCAGAGAAACACTCCCGGGGGAGTCTGTGTGCGGGGCCAGCCCTGCTGAAGAGGAGTGTGAACGGGGGTTGATGATCTGCTTTGGAGCAGAAACACACATAGGGCTCATTGGCATGTAGGGATCATCCTTGGACCTTGGTGTCTGGGGTGCCACACCTGGCATCATTGGCATATAGCCACTGTCAGCTTGTACACCTTTAGATCCGATCTGGACGTCCCTGTAATCCTCAGGAAAGGTCCCTTTAGGGGAGGCAGTGTGACACCTGCGAGAAGACTGGCTACTGCTGGTGTATGTGGCCCTCATCAGAGTATACTCATCCAGGGAGGCTGAAGATACTTGTGGAGGGGCCCTCTGCCGGCGGGGGGTGGTGAGTGAGTATGTGCGCTTTCGATAAGCCTTTTCCAACTCTGGTAACCGACGGTAACCATTCAGATTTTGCCGCTCCATCACCATGTAGCCATCAAGCTCACTGCCATCCCGGGAGGGGGGAGTCTCAGCTCTGAGAGACTCGGGAGTGTTGCTACGGAGGGTGAGCGACAGCTTAAGGTCTCGTACATCAGCAGGGCTAGAGCCATACTCCTCACATGATATGAAACCAGCATCACTAGGTGAGCCTGAGAAGGAGGCACTGCAACTGGAGGGGCGAGGGGCACCGGTGTCTTGGCAGGAGGACAGGCTCGCTAGGCTAGGGGCACCCATGGGTGGGGAATGAGACAGGGGCATAGACATGGACTTACTGTGCTGGAGGGAAGAAGATTCAAATGTCCTGCAAGGGTGGGTTGTAATGGTGTGAGATCTGCTCAGGAGGGTCCTGTGGAACCCTGGGCTGAGCGGGCTCCCGGTTACTGACATGGGGCGTGTCATGGTGCCATCTCCCTCGCTGGCAGTGCGTATTCGACAGGAGGAAAACTTGCTCACAGGAGATGTCATGGCCATGCTGTCAGTGCGAGACCGCCGGGGAAGGCCGGTCTGGCTGGGGGGGAGATTGTTCAGGTGCCTCCGTGTGGGCACAGAGATCGGGTTCGTACCAGACGACTGGCTTTTGCTGCGCGGGCGGAATTCCGACAGCTCCTTCATGGCTTTCATCGCTTCCAGGATGGTTTCGTGGATGTTCTGCGCCACCACGGAGTCGTCAGCCTGCATCCAGAGCTCCCCGGGACCCGTGGCCGCAGACCGACCCACCTCGATGAAGAAGAAGCTGTCGGAGTGGCCGCACCGCCGGATATTCATCAGCTGCAAGACGACGGAGGCGACCTCCGAGTTGAGCTTGACGAAGCTGATGGTCCGGCTGGAGAGACACAGCCTGTACACCCCGGTCAGATTCCTGCTCTGCCCCAGGCCCTTGGATTTCAGATTCACTTGCCATACCTCCTTGTAGGCGGCGGCGACCGGCGTGATCACACCGTAGCTCGCCTCGTCGAAGCCAACCAGCGAGGACGCCGAGTTGGACGCGGAGCCGTCGTAGACTTTCCCCTCGGCCATTAAATCCGCCAGCAGCCGGTACCAGCTCTCCTGCTCCGGCTCGTTCTCCGCCGCCACCGCGAAATACTCGTCCTTGGTGTAAAGAGCGATGAGATATTTGTGTTTGGCGTCGGCTCTCTTGTTGATGTTGAGGCAGCAGTCGAGGGGGATCACTCTCTTCGCGGCCGATTTGTTTCTCCATTTCTTCTCGCTCTCGTAGTACTCCAGCCGCGCCGGGCAGCCCTCGCTCGGCTCCTTCAGGACGAAAAAGCGTTTGTGTCCGTGTTTCTGCTTCTTCAGGTATCCGCTCTTCTTCACGTCGCTGCTCGGCGCCGACGGCTGCTCTCCGGCGTGAGGCGGACTCGCCATCTCTAGTCCTCGGCGCTCAGACACAAAAGCCGCCGCTGCTCGTTCCTCGAGTTACCGGAGAAACGCTCGAGCTTGTTGTTGATGTTTTGATTTGTCTTTTTTTGGATTTTAATCCTCCGGAGTTTCCAGAGCCGTTCGAGCGTCCGTTCTTCCCGTGGCACAGCTGAGCGATAAATAACACATGTCTCCCGGTGTCCGGACTGAGGAGGAGGAGGAGGAGGGTGAACAACATGTGACGGTCTACACATCCAGCTCTGCTCGGAAAAAACAGAAGGGGAACGGAGGAGGAGAAAAAAATACACACACACACACACACACACACATACACACACACACACAGATAGTGGGTGGTGCGCAGTCAGCTCATTGGGCCTATTGGTGGAAACGGCATGAATGCTGGAGTGAGATGGCTCAGGTTCAAAGGAGGGAGAGAGAGAGAGAGAGAGAGGCCCTCCTACTATCACTCTGCCCTCTTCCGACTCTTTTGCGCGTAGCCAGTCAGGACCGACGCTTTATTTATAGCAGCTCTGCTCCTGTGAATGATCCAGCACTTATTTGGCTTGTGTGAGGATGTTTTGTTGGAAAAACATGTTCTTGACCTATAAAGACTTTATCTGCGTCATTGTTCCGCTGCAACAACCTCTGACGATGTGTAATAACCTGTTTACTTCGGTTTGAGCCTCATCACTTTGGCTTTTCATGTTTGTCAGATTTACCCCTATTTGATTTTCTTTATTTGTTAGGCCCCTACATTTCCATCCGGATCAATAAAGTGTCTTTCTGTCTGTCTGTCCTGTGTATATGGAGTAAAAGGCAGAACCTGTACCTATAGTAAAGTACCAGAAATTAAAACCAAAAACAATTGTCTATATTTATTAGTTTTTTATTTGTGTGGGCCTAAAAAGACCTATAAAGACTGTATCTACGTCATTCACACGCAATGTGCAACAACTTCTATTTCCACTTGTCACATTGGTTTTAGTTTTAAATAATAACATAATATGTCATTTATTATCATTTCAAACGTTGTTATGTGTATTTGTATTTGTCTATATGACATCGCTCTTATTGCTGAGTTGAATTGATCTTTTCGTTGTTGACCCTGTTGGAACTTACATAATAAAAAACACACAGTGACCTGCAGCATGAGTTAAACACACATTGATTGTTTTTTTTTCAAGAAGTGAATGAACGTCTTCTGTATTATTCTGTCTATTCTCAGTGCTCTTATCTCTCAGTGTTGTTTTTGCACCACCCCATGTTATTTCTACGTGACTGTAGAGGGAGTCATTCCAGTCTCTCTCTCTCTCCAGCTGGTAAACAAGCATCAGCACACAGCTTCACGGGAATCCAATATTCACCCAACCGGTTGTACGCGTTCACAAACGGGATTTTCTCGCCCGTGCTTCTCCCTCCATGTGTTCGTGACAAAGACTCGTACACATGGCGGATTTATTTTTGCATAACAAGCTCCTGCTTTATTCATGTTCGCCCCGAGCTGAGCTGAGTCCGGTTCTGACCGTCTCCATATCTGTCCTCCCATTCACAAACACTATGTGCGCCATGCGACGGATTAAAATGGATGATAACGAAGCCTGTGTCCAAAGTGTTAAAGGTTACGGTAGGTTAAGGCGTAATCGTCCCAAAAAAAAACCTGCCCTCCTTCTGAAAGGGGGAAACAGAGGAGTGACCCATATATGGTAATATTATAAAAATAAATATCAGTGATCCTGCTGACGCAAAAAAATTATCCTGATCTTGATGCGTCAATGCTGGTGATGTGCGTAATGATGAAATGCTGCAGCCAGCTGGGTACCGCGGTGGGGTGGTGGTGATGCGAGCGCGCAGCCAATAGTGTGTCTGTGACCTGAGGGGACGAGATCCACGCACCTCATCCGGCCCAACAGAGGCTCCAAGCTGCCTCACTGACGAAAACAGGCTGCACAGAGTAAAGATAAACAACCACAGAAATATTATACAAGACAATACAGCTTCATTTATCCACAAGGCAATTTGGTTTAAGGCAATTCAAAGAAAAATCAAGATACAGACATGCACTGAACAATAATGCAATAAAACACCACAAAATAGTTATTCAGTTGTGTTGAGCTAAAGAAAAAAAAAGGAAAAACACCATAATGTCTTTTAAAATATTAAAATGTATAATTAATATGTAGAATAAGTCAAATTTTCCCTGTGCCAAGCTCTAAATGGCCCACAGATGTGTTTTGTAATTCTTTGTTTCCCAGGTGGATGGCTTATGGAATATGCTTTCAGAAATGAACCCCAGATATTCTTCAGACATTCTCTGGAGGGACTGTATAGAAGAACTCAAATGTCCGAGTGAGCGGCTCCAGACATTCTCCAGAGTTTCTACTGCCAGTCCCTTAGTAAGAGCTCTGGAGAATGTGTGAATGAGTTTATGTAAGAACAAGTAGTTGATGCAACAGATGCAAAACTGAATAAATAAATAATATCTCAGGATGAAAAAGTGGTGCCATACACATAAAAGACACAGATGAAGATTTCAAGAGAGTTTTTATGATAAGGACAGACGCCAGTGTCGATGTGCTGTAAACAAAAACACATGATCCCCTCTGTGGAATTCATACAGTACGTCCTGCTTATGCGTGCTCTGCCATCCCTTATCTGAGCACTCCAGAGATTTCTGTGTTGTTGTGAACGTGTCTGAGCTTCTCCTGCTGCATTGTTAATGTGTGAAAGGCCACCGCCGGAGAAAGTCCGGAACGAATTCTGCGGCCATCCTCTGGAGTTCATGTCTGAGATTGGCTAATGATGCCTTGTGCCAGAGGGAAAGACGCTGTGTGAGCATCTGGAACTTGGTGTGGAGAAGATGAGTTGCTGAGGCCATGCAGGCTACGTGGGGCGCACCAGTGAAATCACTTATCACATTTACACTCATACTACATTACCTGTCAATAATCAGCCCCTGTTATAGTGACACTTTTTTAATTGCATGTCCAATGACACACACACACACACACACACACACATACACACATGTACCTTCAACAGCCTCCTCCTTGTATCATTTCCTTTTACATCCCACAGTGCTGGCTCAGCACCACACCACCTTGTTGGCAAGGTCAATTACCATGTCCCTGTGCAGGTCAATTATGCCACCAGAAGCAATGATTTGATGACTGCCGCCATGGAAAAGAAATCAAGCAGCAACCCCTTGCAATCCATACCTCAAACAACATTTAAATGAAGCGATTTGCTTCAAGGGTATAGTGATGCATATTTTCATGACTGGTGTGGTTGTCTGCTTCTCATTATTTAAGCTGTACTGTGTTTACCTCAGCCATGCCTAAAGTGCTATGGACGCATAATGGTATAAATAGATGTGGCAAAGTTGGCTCCCTAAAGCCCCTTGGCTCAGATTTCTCCCTGTAGGATAAGAAGGGTTCCCTCTGTTTATATTAGGTTTCCTTCGTGACGGACGCAGGCTGAGCTCTGACCTTTAATACTCTCTAATATAACAGCCACTGCAGACTGGCTGTATTGTGAGCGCACTGCTTTAAATAAAAAGGCCAACACTTGCAGTTTTGCTCAAACCTCTGATAAACTATGAGTAGACTATCAGAAAATGTTTAAAGTCCATGACAAGCCGCCTTTTAAAATACCATGACCTGACAGTGGCAAGATAACCAGAAAACTGAGTGGGGGGTAGTGTGGAGTGAGAAGCAAGGGCAGAGGGAGTGACGGTTTCTTTTTGCATAACCCATGAAGCATAAGAAATGCAAATCAGCTGTCTATAAAATACCAATAAGGTGGGCGATTGTCCCATAAAGTGAGCCGCCTGCAAACCCAATCTGGTTAGGTCTGTGATACGTCCTTGCCTTTTTCTTAGGTTACAACATGAATATTTATCACCCTCCAATTTACACAGCATGGTGCATTAATTTACAAGTTAATTAAAGGGCCAACTGAACCTGATTTACAAGGCTTTAGATTGGCTCTCTCATCGTCTCCTGATATGAACCCATTAGGTCTTTATAGGTTTATTTATGTCGCGATGGAGAGGGCTGTGACTTTAAGGGGCATCCTGTCAAGACAAATAGGCCTTTTCTCGATCTCTGGACTCCTTTTTCACTTATAGTGCATGAAAACAACCAAAAAGGGTTTAACAAAGTCTACTGGAACTCTGAAGAAGCCTGTAGAGTTGAAGACTTAATCTCATTTAGTCTGTTCAGGCTGGCCTTCAAATATAAACACCCCCTGTTGTCCATTTGCTGAGTCACAAGCACATAATGTCTCACAGTCAACCAATGCACTGTCACTGCGCGCAACGATTAGTTTCATAAGCTTTCATAAAGCAGATTAGGAAAGCCAATCTGATGAGATAAGATTAAGGATGAGCTGGAGCAGTGTGGGGGGGTAAAGATTAGGTCCAGTCATACTCTGCTCGCTGCCTCATAAGGCCCCATCAAATGAACAGCATAAACATGTATAGCATCCAAACATGACACGCGCTCGTCACCAAGCCTCTGCCTCATCTCATTAGTCAACAACAAAACAGATTACAGCCGTAGCCCGGGGTGTCTGATTCATATTGTTGTGGCAGTGATGTTTTGATGTTTTTGTTATCGGGAGTCAGAGATATTTTTATGTTTTCTGTGAGGTCACAGACCAAATTGGATCTGTTAACCTTTGTTCCAATGGTGGATAACTCAAGTCAGATGATCCCAGTGTTCAGTTCAGGACCCAGGACACAACAGGATATTAACACCCCAAAAAAAATAGCTTATTTTCAACTCCATTTACTATACTACTATACCCCTCATGAACCAAAATAAATAAATCAGAGGACAGAATTAAAGAAAAAAGTTATATACATCGAAAAGAAAATATGTAGTGTGGTAATACTGACTTGATACTGATATGATGGCTCTCATTATATATTATTTGGAGAAAATGGATTTTGGAAGATAATTCAGACATCACATGTTAAAAATAAGTTAGACAAAGAAAATAAATTAATAACTAGAAGGATACTCATAGAGAGCGTACCTCCGCCAAGTCTAACACACTCGTCATTCCACCTTTGAAACCAACAGATCCAGATACGTTTATCAGATCCACTCCAAAATGTAATGGGGTCCTCCTTGGGTCATGCCCCATGCCTCCACAAAATTACATTGGGGTCAGTAGCTTTCAGTAAACCTGCTGACAACAAACAGACAAAATGAAATAAAAACATAACCTCTGTGTGGCTATAAACATGATGGATTTTCAAGTTTTAAAGTGTCTCACAGACTGTAATTAATTTTTGGGGTAAATACTCCCCTCAAGAAGTCACTATGTCAATATGTAGGGAATCATATTGTGTATGTTTTTGTCAATTCATGAATACATATTTGTTCGCATAGCCACTTTAACATATTGAGATGAAACAATATTTTATGGGTAAGAATTTTGTGTTTTCGTCAAACATGTAAACCAAATAAACCACATGTAAACTATTTTCTATGTATTCGATTTAAATGAGAAAATTTGCCAGGAAATATTGTTTGCATCATTTCGAGGAGGCAGCACCATTTAGGCTCACCTCGTTTTTATTTCTTTAAACATCTGCTCCCTACCACCCCTTTAATTTCCTTAATCTAATATTGTAACCAGCTAATGGTAATGAAAGCTGTTTTCCGTGCTCTTGAGCACATACGATATAGATCGCTCCTTTCAATCTCGTGTTGTCACCCATAATTGACTCAATTCCCTGATCAATACAGTGGAGTCAAAATTGACATTTCTCTTGGTAAGTTTTAGGTCTGATTGATCACCTGGCTGACCTGAAGGAAAGACGCCATGTGCCAATGGAGATCCTCGTGTTATTGGACACGGCTGCCCGCGGCTCTATTGAGCCACAGCACAAGTGATTACAGTTTTGATTACTTCAGTTAACCAACTCATGGGCACGGACTTAATATATTTTTTTGATTAATCTGCAAGTTGGGGACAGTTGTTGTGGAACGGCATCAGAAAGTCAATTATAGCTGTTTGTGATGTTGTGTTCAATTCCTCACCTACATTGTGTAGTAATGGCAGCGGAGATGTTTACTTCTCATATCTTTACCCGTTACGTTTGGCTGAGACCTT